TCTTTAAATGTTCCAACATCCAAATTATAGAGGTACCAGAAGGAGAAGAGGAAGAGCAACAAGTGGAAAACTTATCTTAACAAATAATAAGGGAGAACTTCCCCATTCTGGCAAAGGAAACAGACTTCCAAGAAGTCCAGGGAGCTCAGAGAGTCCCAAAGAAGTTGGACCCAAGGAAGAACACACCAAGGCACATCACAATTACATTAGCCAAGGTAAAAATGAAGGAGAGAATCCTAGAAGCAGCAAGAGATAAGGGGACAGTTACCTACAAAGGAGTTCCCATCAGACTGTCAGCTGATTTCTCAAAAGAGACCTTGCAGGCAAGGGGCTGGAAGGAAGTATTCCAAGTCATGAAAGGCAAGGACCTACAACCCAGATTGCTCTATCCAGCAAAGCTTTCATTTAGAATGGAAGGGCAGATAAAGTGCTTCTCAGATAAGGTCAAGTTAAAGGAGTTCATCATTACCAAGCTCTTATTATATAAAATGTTAAAGGGACTTAGCTAAGAAAAAGATAAAAAACATGTATAGTACAATGACAGAAAAATCACAATTATTAACAACCACACCTAAAGCAAAAGCAAACTAAGCAAATAACTAGAACAGAGCCCTGGCTGGCGTAGCTCAGTGGATTGAGCGCGGGCTGGGAACCAAAGTGTCCCAGGTTCGATTCCCAGCCAGGGTACATTCCTGGGTTGCAGGCCATAACCCCCAGCAACCGCACATTGATGTTTCTCTCTCTATCTCTAAAAATAAATAAATAAAATATTTAAAAAAAAAAAAACTAGAACAGGAACAGAACCACAGAAATGGAGAACACATGGAGGGTTAGCAATAGGGGAGTGGGAGGAGGAGAGAGGGGGAAAAGGTATGGAGAATAAGTAGCATAAACAGTAGGTAGAAAATAGACAGAGGGAGGGCAAGATTAGTATGGGAAATGTAGAAGCTAAGGAACTTATGACACATGGACATGAACTACAGGGGGGAAATGTGGGGCGGGTGTGCAGGGTGGAGGGGGATGATGGGGAATAAGGGGACAGCTGTAATAACATAATCAATAAAATATAACAAAAAAGATCTGATGAAGGAAAAAAGATCTGATGAAGGTTTTGACTTAAGTAATGATGTAGTGATGACAAAAAATGAAATGTAGCTAAAGCTAAAAAGAAAGAATAAAGTACAACTTTTATGGCACCCACTTCTTAAGCTTTCAACTGCCCCCCATGTGATAAAACTTTGATTAATTAAAATTCAACTAACAAGAACTTAGCTCTTCATGTCTTTGAAAGAAAAGGGAGGAAGGAAGGGAGAGAGAAAAAGGGAGAGAAGGATGAGAGAAGGGAGAAAAGGATGGCAGAGGGAGAAGGAGGGAGAGAGAGTGAAGAGAGGGAAAGAAACAAGAAAAAACTCTGAATTTTCCCTCCAAATTGAACTTTCAGACAATGGGCTTGATAGTATGTACTTGGCACAATCAATGCCACTCTCTACATCTATACTTACAAATTGACATTCCTTTACCTCAAGACACTGTGAGATCCTGAATAATTAAATACTAAATTATGCTTTCTATGATGTACTAAAAACGAAAATGAACTACAATTCCTTTATTATATCTAACCATGCTAATACCTGGATACAACAGCTGGCTGACAGTTTCAGTGATATAAAGCACAGCAGATACCCAACAAAGACAGAACTGGCTTTAAAATCTCATTGCAAAGTGACTACTAGAAATATCATTCTTGAATTCCAATAAGGCAAAAAATAGGTATGAAAAATAGCCTGTCTTATCCTGCCTCCAATTGCTTCCAGCCCTATTTCTCTTTTGAGATATATTTTTAACTCATTTATCAATAAAAGCAAAAAGTCTACCCTATTAAATAAAACTGGATACTCTCCTACTTGCCAGAGTCTCTAGAGCAAAAGTGAGATGGTCAGCAAGACAGCTCTCGGGAACAAAGCTAAAACCAAATTCAGGTTTTGTGCATTTTTGTGATCTCCAAGGGTCACAGCACATCACATACCGTTTTATTTTAGATGTAGGAACGATACGCTACAGTGGATGTCCCTGCAGTGCAAAAAGTGAACTTCTTTCCTTTTATGTATTCATTTAATTAATAAACAGTCAACATAAGATACTATGTGAGCTAAGTTTGGTGGGGGGCATTTAATAAATGACATAAGAAATTAAAACACATTTCAAAAATCATTTAGTTCCCAAACCTTCATTTTTACAGATTCGTTTTATAGTTCTTACAGAACTTTAGCTATTACAGTTCTGAAGAGCCATACGGTGTCTCTAATCACTCTTGATCTCACTACCCAGTTTTATTTTCTTCCTAATACTTAACACTATCTGAACATATATGCATACATAGTAGAATAGAAGCTCACCAAGTGCTGGCGTCTTTACTTTTCAATCACTACCCTGTTTTCAGTTCTGAGAAAAGTGTCTAGCACACAGTAGGTACTCAATTGATATCTATTAAATTAGTAAATAAGAAAATTATAGAAATATTTAAAAAGACATTGAAATATCACACTGGAACTTGTGAGAGTGTAAAACCAATGGGACCTTGACTCCACAGAAAGATCACATTTGAGCTGTATAAAGTACTGGAACCTGGCTACCATGGAAGTAAACCGTTCTTTGAACATAAGATAAAATTAACTTATTAAGGCATACCAACTGTAAAAGCAGACAACTGTCGATAAATAAATATTTATTTATTCCCAAATCGATGTCTGGAAAACACCTTCAATTCATACCACGTATTAGAATACTAACTAAAAACTCTTCCTTCAAGCTGTAATTGATTTGTTATACGCCTATTATTAAGAAAATTCATACTGAAAACTCAAGAGATATTAAAAACTCCTAGAAGAAAACCTAGAGAGTTACCTCTTTGACATCATTCTTACCAGTATTATTTTTAATATAAATCCTTGATCAAGGGAGACAAAAAAAATAAACACATGGGATTACATCAAACTAAAAAGGTTTTGCATAATGAAGGAAACCATCAACAAAATGAAAAAGACAACTTATTGAATGGGAGAAATATTCACAAATGATACATCCAATGAGGGGTTAATATCCAAAATATATGAAGAGCTGATAAAACTTAACACCAAACAAATCAATCCAATTAAAAAATGGGCAGAGGATCTGAAGAGATATTTTTCTAAAAAGGACATACAGATGGCCAACAATCATATAAAAAGATGTTCAACATCATTAATCATCAGGGAAATGCAAATTAAAGCCACAACGAGATATCAACTCGCACCTGTCAGAATGGCCATGACCGATAAACAACAAACAAGTGCCGGAGAGGAGGAGGCGAAAAGGGAACTCCTGTGTCCTATGGTGGGACTGCACATTAGTGTAGCTGTAAGGAAAACAGTGTGGAGATTCCTCAAAAAATTAAAAATAGAGCTGCCATACAATCCAGCAATTCTACTCCTGGGCATTTATTTCAAGAAAACAAAAGCACTAATTTGAATAGATACATGCACCCTTATATTCACTGCATCATTACTAGTAATAGCCAAGATATGAAAGCAACCTAGATGTCCATCAATAGATGAATGAAGATGCGGTACATATATATAATGGAGTATTATTCAGCAATGAAAAAGAATGAAATCTTGCCATTTGTGACAACATGGATGGGCCCAGAGGGCATTATGCTTAGTGAAATAACGCACACAGAGAAAGACATACCATATAATCTCATATATACATGGACTTTTAAAAGAAAATGTACAAACAAAATAAAACAGAAGTAGACCCATAAATATAGAGGACAAGCTGATAGTTGCCAAATAGGAGAGAGTGGAAGAACAGAAATTTAAAAAATGTTAAAAAAAAAATCATGCCTGAAGGTACCCAAGCTACATAAGGGATTCGATCACAAGATCAGGTGCTCCATAGTTCTTTCCACTGGTGTATGACACCGATTACTATAACAAAGAGTTTGTATAAACAGGAACCAAAAACTTAAATGAGAGCAAGTCTCTAGACGTAACTATCCGTTTACAGGAAATATTGGGGACAGAACTTGTTAAATGACATCACTATGATGTGATCAACAAACTGCAGAAGATGGACAAATACATTGTAAGAAAAAAGCAGTAAGGGTAAACTGTAGATTTAAGAAGTCCTAAGGAAGGAACGTATCTACCAGATACAACATGTGGTCTCTGTCTAAATCCTGATTTAAACCAATCAAATGAAAAGCAAGATTTAAAAAAAAAATTCCAGCAGCATGCATCTTAAGTTACGTAAGAAAAATGGCTTTTATAAAAACTCCACTTGAAGTATTAATCAATACATATGAAAACAAACTTCAATTTTAATGAAGAGTTCCTCTATTACTTCAGGTTATTTTGTAGCAAACACGTTAGTAATGAGTGCTAAATCCAGAATCTACTGGCAAAGGTGGGTCTAAATTAATAAAAAATATAATAATTAGTCTTGGCTGTGGTGGCTCAGTGGACTGAGTGCCAGCCTGCAAACCAAAGGGTCTCTGGTTCAATTCCCAGTCAGGGCACAAGCCTGGGTTGCAGGCCAGATCCCAGTAGGGGGTGCACAAGAGGCAACCATACACTGATGTTTTTCTCCCTCTCTTTCTTCTTCCCTTCCCCTCTCTCAAAAAATAAATAAAATCATTAAAAACATATTAACCATTTTCTCTTTGCCTTTTCTATTCAACTCTAGAAACAAGTTTATTAGAAGCAAATAAAAATAAAGTTGAGGGATTAGACAAAGAAACATAAGAAGCAAGTTCTTAGTCCCACATTTTAAAAATACTGCTTCAGTTTAATGAAGTAACAAATATTTTCTCAGCACCTATTTATAATATCCAAAGCTCCTTGCTAGGAATTAGAAGAAGTTATCAGAAATATTTAAAGAGATGAAAACTGAAAAATATCTCTATGACTTCCAGTAAATGTGAAATATTACAAAATTTCTCAAAAAGTGTTTCAACTTACACTTTGTTCCTCTGGTTCTAATTTGGGGATTTTGTGTGACTTGCGCTCTTCAGATCTAGATGAGTCATGCTTGTTGCTTTTTTTCCTCTTTTCTTTTCTGCTTTCATGCTTTGACTTTGTGTGCTCACTTGCCTGTACTTCATTTAAAAGGTCTCCACAAAGAGAAGACTCAAACAATTCCCTGCCATTCTGGATAGTTTTGGTTATTTTTAGTTTAATTTCAGGTGAGCCAGTCTTCTTTGGAATCACAGTCTGTGGTACCGAAGGAGGAGGTGGTAGCTGTGGAGGAGAAGGTTTTTCCAGAATTTCATGTGGTCTTGTGTTTGAAATTTCTGAATGGTAATAGTCAGGGGGGCTAAAGTTTCTAACTGCACCATAACCATTGGCCGATCCATTGGGATACTGATTATAAGACGGGTATTTGGTTTGAGTTTCATACATGCTGATTGATGGTGGATAGCCATTTGTGAGTGGAGGAAGATCTTCTGTTGTAGGTGCGTACTGAAAGCCTTGCTGCAAGGTAGCTTCATATGGTGTATGGCCACCATCTTCAACAATGTCACTGTTGTTATCAAAGGCATCCTCCTGGCGGATGTTGGCGGAGTCAATGAGTTGAGGTGGTTGCTGAATTGTGTTTCCCATGATCCCTTGCATGAAAGAGAAAGAGAAATCCATTGTTCTGCTCCAGCATCCTTAACTTTCCCTTTCTCTCATCGGGCCTAAAGTTTTAAAAGAGAAAATTAAAAGGTGTTAATATCCTCACAAGTGAAAAGCTAATTAATTGAAAAAGGATTAAACTAAAATATTCTGAACCAGCCCTGTCTGGTGTGGCTCAGTGCACTGAGTGCTGATCTGAAAACCAAAGGGTCACTGGTTTGATCCCCAGTCAGGGGACATGTCTGGGATGCAGGCCACACCCCAGTTGGGGGCTTGGAGAGGCAACCACACACTAATGTTTCTCTCCCTCTCTTTCTCCCTCCCTTTCCCTAAAAGTAAAAAAAATTAAATCTTCAAAATATTCTGAACCCAATTTTCGTATCCAGATATGCAGAGACACTAAATGTTTTTAAAACAGGTAGCCAATATAATTGTGTCACAGGACAAACACTTTTTTAATCTTAAATGCTTATATGCTTAAAACTCAATTACCTTCACAATAACTCTAGTAACAAATTTCATCCTCTTTGCAAACATGCAAAATAGTTTTCTGCTTCCCAAGTCAGAGATTATCATTCTTATGTTAAACCTGCTATTTGCAATATACCATATTTTTCGGACCATAAGATGCACCTAGGTTTTAGAGGAGGAAAATAGAAGAAAAATTTTTGAAGCAAAAAATGTGGTAAAATATTTAATAACATAATATTTCACCAATGTAAATGTAAACAGAACTCAACAGCTGCATTAACAACCATTATTCCTCCCAAATTGGCGGGTGGGCGTGGGTAGTGCATCTTATAGTCAGAAAAATACAGGTAAGCACAATGGACATACATAAATTAGGTCCCACAAAGCTTCCTTTAAATCATTCATGTTCTATCCAGTGGTTCTTTTTGTTATTACAAACATAATAAAAGTTATCGCAAGTACTTTAAATGCAAAAGTATAAATGCCTATTGCTCTCCCCCTTCATCATCCCTATTCTTCTGTTACGAATAAGTATTGTAAACATCTTGCCAGGTATTCTTCCAAATCTTTCTTCATATACTTACATGTAAAATTCTAAAAATTAGGGTTATTCTGTGACATCCTTATTCAACTTAAGATATCCTAGATATCGTTCTACATCTACATGCATAATTTTCATATATACATCATTCTTTAAATGGTTGCACTGGAAACAACTATGGTATCTACCAGAATGTATTTAACTATTTGTGTTCTAAAATTCATTTAGTTGTTCACAATTGTTTGATATCATGAACAGGTCTACAAGAGATTTTTTGAAATTGCATCTTTGTACATACACGTATTCCTGTGGGACAGATCTGAAATCTTGGTAGATACTGAAAACTGTTCTGTAGGCTGTACTACAGCACTTTTCACTCACACCAATAGTGTGTGAAGATGTCTGGTTCTCTATAGTCTTGCAGAATCATCTGGGATACTTCTATAAAATGTGTATGTCAAGGTCTATCTACCGATCCATCTGATTCAAGAAATCTGGGGTGAGGGCTAGAGCATGAGTATTTTAAGACCACATTCTAGGTAGAATTCTGATACAAACCCTAGTTTGAGTCACTGCATTATAGTATTTGAATTGTAGTCATCGCATTATACTCTTACAATTACTGCATCCTCCTCTAGGAGATGCCTAGAGATGCTCACGTCACGTAAGAATGTTATAATACAGATAAGCATCTGTTAGGAAATGCTTTAAGACCACTCTGATTTGTCTCCACATCGCAAGACAGAGGATTAATGGACAGTCCAGATATTATTTTGATAATCCCAAAAACGTTTCTTCTAGAAAGCTCTAAGGCAGAGGGGATTTCACTACTGTATGAAGTCTTATGAACTCATTGTACCTATCTGGAACACTATGAAGAAGGATTCTGAGACTACAGCTCAGTTCAATTCTGTAACTGATTAATAATGTCTACTATCTTGCCCTGACTGGTATGGCTTGGTTGGGTGTTGTCCCACAAAGGGAAAGGTCACCAATTCAATTCTCGGTCAGGGCACATGATGGGGTTGCTCGTCTGGTCCCTGGTCCGGGCATGTAAAAGACACAACCAATCGATGTGTCTCACTCACATAGATGTCTCTCTCCTTGTCGTTCTCACTCCCTTCCCCTCTCTCTAAAATAAATCAATAAAATATTTTTTTAAAATTACAGGTTTAAAAAACAATAATGTCTACCATCTTGGTTCTAGTAAGATTTACCATAATAAGACTAATAACCCAAAATAGCAAAGGGAAGAGGAGGGGGAAAAAAGGAGATAATATACTTTTAAAGGTGTACCCAATTAAACAACTGTGGTTTATTCTGTGGTTAGCAAATGGAAAGAATTTTAGAAATTCTAACATTTCAAACAAATGCATACAAGAAATCAAAATGCTCATACTGCTCTTCAGTGGGACAGGGGGTGGAAGGTCTCAGAGAGCACTCTCATTTTTTATCACCTACTCTGGGCTAAGCACCTTATACATTTCCTCATTGAATTCTCATAACGACTCTGTAAAATATGCATTGTGACTCCTGGTTCATAGGTAAAAGAAACTGAGTTTCAGAGGGATTAAGTGACTTACTTAAACCATAAAGATTTAGGAGGCAAAATTAGGATTTGAATCTAAGCATGTTTGACTCTAAAGCCTATGATTTTTACCACTATACAACTTCCGCTTCCCTCAGCTACAAGTTGTAAGAGGCTTCAGCTATTCTATACTAATAACCTCCAACACTTAAATCATGCTTACCATATGCCAGAAACCATTCTAAATGCTTTACGTACAATACTACATTTAATCCTCCCAACAACCTTCAGGTAGATATTAATATTAGTTCCCATTACAGAAGGGGAAACAGAGAACAGAGAGGTTAAGTGACTTGCTTAAATGCAAAAGGCTAGTCCTTATATGACAGAGCTGGGCTATAATCAAAGCAGTCTGGTTTTGGCATCTGTGATGCTAACCAACATACAATACTGATAACATTGATGTTAGAAATCATTTCTTCATATGTAGTTTTAAGAACTGAAATATTACCCTGTGTTAACCCTTGGAAAAAATGTATAGCTCACAGACACAAGAAGAGTATACCCTAAAAGTCTGTAAATACACACGGGACAACTATACAGGTGGAACTCAAAAGTTCTTTAAACTTCCAAATTGAACACAAGTTAAATATTGACATTTGACATGCAACCTGTATGTTTGGTTCTTATTCCTGTCATAAACAAGATCAGCTTCCAGCTAAATCCCCCAAATTGTACAGAACTGAACTGAATCTCAGAATGAGAAAACAATCAGACCAATCCAAAACGTAAAACATTCTCTCAGACAACTAGCCTGAGCTCTTCAAGTAGCAAAGGTGGAAAGACTACTTAGTTTTTAAAAGACAAGATTTAGACAACCTAATTCAATGCACTAACTTTGATTAAATCCTAAATTTAAACACACACCCATAGGTAAAAATACATATAGTTTGGAGAAAACCGAAAAATTTAAATATGAGCTGGCTACTGCATGATGGAGCCACTGATTTCAGGGGCGCGTTCACAGTGTTGTAAGAGAATGCCCACGCTGCCACTGTCAAGTGCGACTGGAGCCACAACTTGCAATGGTTTAGGGCTTTAAAGTACACGCACCTAGAGCAAAACAAAGGAGGCACGATGTTCGAAACTAGCCAATCCAAGTGTGGACTGTAATGTTCTTTAAACTTTCTTAAAGTTTTGAAAATGTGAAAAATAAAAAATTGGGGAACTAAATAATTTGATTAGGGGAAAGTGGTAAAGCCTGCATTAAATCCTGACACCATACTTAGACCAACTAAGCTGAATGGCCCACACTGTTCAAATTACTATAAAGGGAATAGAGCCTCACTTTTTCATATCATCCCTCCAAATAATAAAATAATGCAATCAAGATAGCAGTTTTGGTCATTTTTTTAAAAAAAGCTCTGTTAGGACTATAACTAAATTCCTTTGTAGTGATTCTGATAATCACTGGAGTCTGGGAGCCAGCCTCCCACAGCAGACAGGCTGCCTGACATCACAGTTAACACTTTCCAGCACTAGGGGGCTCTCTAGTGAGCAGAGGCTCAGAATCAAATTGCCGGATCCAAAACCCACATCCAAGGTTTACACTTGAGGCAACTTTCAATCTCCCTAAATCTGTTTCCTTCTCAAGAAACTGTAGATACATACTTGGAACTTTCTGTTTACCTTGGGTTGTTGCCAGAATTAAAATTAATCTGTGAGCAGTACTTCAGACAGTGCCTAGGTATAGTTAGAGCTCAATACCTATTGGCTATTATCATCGAGTGCAATGCTGGGCAACAGATTTTGTGAAAAACTTGAACTCTGACCTAAAGGCATTTACAATAGTATAATAGACTAGAGAAGATTTTATGGGCAGGACTTATAAAATAGTAATGAACACTGTGGAACAGGAGGTGACTAAGAATTAAACAGGGGACTTCCAGTCAAGATGGTGGTATAGGTAAACACAGCTCGCCTCCTCACACAACCACATCAAAATTACGACTAAATTATAGAACCACCATCACTCAGAACCATCAGAAACTGAGTTGAATGGAGTCTGACAACTACGGAATTAAAGAAACCACATCCATCCAGACCAGTAGGAAGGTTGGAAACATGGACTAGGCTGGTCCCACATCCACATGTGGTGGATAAAAATTCGGGAGGAATGTCTTGGGAGCAAGGAGTCCCAGTCCCACACCAGGCCCCCCAGCCCAGGGTTCCAGTGCTGAAAAGGTATGTCCTCAAAACTCCTGGCTGTAAAAACCAGCAGGGACTGAGTAGGTGGAAGAAACTTCTGGAGTCCCAAGCAGTTCCTCCTAAAAAACTCACAAACTTACTCAGACTCAATCCCTCTGAGCTCCTGCACCAGGGTAGCAGCTTGAAAGATACCCGTGGCATTCAGGGAGGAACTGAAGTATCTAGCATCAAGGTGATAGCTTAAGGACAGCTTTCTCCAAGACTGAACGGTGGGCAGCGGCCATTGTCCCTTTTCTGAACACTTCCTCACAGAGCTGGCAGGCAGGTGCCATATCTGAGACTCCATCAGCTTGGCTAACACTGTTTGTCCCACCCTGGGGATCCCCTGAGACTCTGTCCCACCCAACTTACTAGCCCACCCAAGCTGTTAACAGGGCCTTTTTCATATGAATGGCTGGTCTTGACTCATGCTTCAAAACTTCCTAACTCCTATCAAACAAGCAACAGCCAACCTCAGTGAACCCCCAGGGCCCGTACCTCTTGCTAAGTGGCCCCAAGCTTAGCAATAGCAGCAGCCAGTCTAGATTCACAGCTTGTCTTTGCCTGGGAATCTCCAAGCCAAGCACAAGTAACAGCCATCTCAGATTGCTTTATAGCCCAGTCAGGGTGGCCCCAAGCAAAACACAGGTGTGGGCTGACCTTGGCCTGCACCACCTGGAAAACTCCAGAGCCTATGCACTCAGTGGACAGCTACAGACCACAGTGGAGCACCACCACCCTGACCTTGCACCACAGAAGACAGACGTTGGTGATCAGTGGTCACAGCCAGTCCTTGCAGCTGACTGGCCTGGGTAAATCCTTCCTGTTGACCTGCCAACAAAAATCAAGGCTCAACTACAAGAAAAGGGTGTACTCAGTCCACGTGAAGGATGTATTTCAAGTACCCAGCTTGGGTGATAGGGGAGACTGTGCCACTGGACCCTATAGGACACCTACTACATTAGGCCATGCAACCAAGACATGGACTCAAAGCAGCTCTACTCAGTACACAGAAACAAACACAGGGAGGCTGCCAAAGTGAGGAAACAAAGAAACATGGCCCAAATGAAAGAACAAAACAAAGCTCCAGAAAAAGAACTAAACAAAGTGGAGATAAGCAATCTATGAGATGCAGAGTTCAAAACACTGGTTATAAGTATGCTCAACTAAACCACATAAAAAAGATCCAGTCCTCAATGATGTATTCACTAATTGAAATAAAGAACAATTTACAGGGAAACAATAGAGTGGATGAAGCCAAGAATCAAATCAATGATTTGGAACATAAGGAAGCAAAGAATGACCCATCAGAACAACAAGAAGAAAAAAGAATCCAAAAAAATAAGGATAGTCTAAGCAACCTCTGGGAGGTTTCAAGAGGTCCAACATTCACACCGTAAGGGTGCCAAAAGAAGAGAAAGAGCAAGAAATAGGAAATCTATTTGAAAAAATAATGAAAGACTTTCCTAATCTGATGAAGGAAATAGACATGCAAGTCCAGGAAACACACAGAGTCCCAAACAAGATGGATGCAAAGTGGCCCACTCCAAGACATACCATAATTAAAATGCCAAAGGTTAAAGAAAGAGGATCTTAAAAGCAGCAAGAGAAAAGTAGATAATTACCCACAGGGGTGTTCCCATAAGACTGTCAGCTGATTTCTCAAAAGAAACTTTGCAGGCTAGAAGGGACTGGCAAGAAGTATTCAAAGTGATGAAAGACAACGACCTACAACCTAGATTACTCTATCTAGCAAAGCTATGATTTAGAATGAAAGGGCAGATAAAGTGCTACCCAGACAAAATAAAGCTAAAGGAGTTCATCATCACTAAACTATTATTATGTAAAATGTTGAAGGGACTAATTTAAGAAAAAGAGGAAGGTAAAAAATATGATTGTTAAAATGGCAAATATATAAATATCAACAATTGAATCTAAAAACAAACTAAGCAAACAAGCAGAACAGAAACAGAATCATAAATATGGAGAACACTGGGATGGTAGTCAGTGGGACGAGGGCTAGGGAAAGGGGGGAAAAGGTGAAGGGATTAAGAAGTATAAATTGGCAGTTATAGAACAGGCAGAGGGATGTTAAGAGCAAGTATAGGAAATGGAGAAGCCAAAGAACTTACATGCGTGATCCAGGACATGAACAAAGGAGGGGAGATTACCAGAGGGAGTGGGGGTGCTGGGTGGAGGGGCGCAAAGGGGAGAAAATTGGGACAACTGTAATAGCACAATCAATAAAAAATAAAGTAAAATAAAATAAAAAATAACAACAAAAAAGAATTAAACAGTGTTACCGTTATAACAGACATTTGAGAAGAACAATGTTCAATAAGAAAGCACTTAGACCATGCAAGACAGGCAGGATGTGGATTTAGGTGTTTTTAACCCATTAATTTTAAAACCACTTAGCACAAGGCACCAAATACTCTCCTACCTTTGTCTTTAATAAGTCCCTGATAAAGATGGCATAGAGTGGTACCTCGGTACTCATTGTTAATTCATTCCAGAACTCATGACAAGAGCTGAAAGTGACAAGGACCAATCTATGAAGCATCTTCTCCTGCAGGGTGGTGTCGTGACTCATACAAGTTCTAACGACTGTGACAAGTCCTGAGCAAGCGCCCAGTATGGAAACATTTTTTTCTCATCAAAATGCAATGACCACAGGGTCTGACAAGTTCTGAAGCTGATGAGTACCAAAGTATGACTTTATATTATTTTTTTTGTATAACTAAAGTAATAATAATGACTAACACCTAGGACTTACTATGTATCAATACTATCCTAAATACTTCACATTTGTTTTATTATTTTATTCCTCATAATACCCCTTTGAGGGAATACTATTACTACCCTTATTTTACAAACGAAAAGTGAAGGCCAGCAGGATTAAGTAACTTGCCCATAGTCAGACATCTTGTTAATGGAGGAGTCAAACACAGGTACTCTATTGCAAAGCACTGGCTTGTTAAAGTAAGTTCATTTCTTATAATCCCTAAGTATGTAAAGTGAATAGCAATGAAAGCAAAATATCTGCACTTTATACCTCACACTTCCTCAGAGCCACTCCTCTGAGCTAACGATTTGGTGGGAGACCACATAATCATCATAACAGTCTTCCACCCAGTCTAACATGTACGTCCAAGCAAATAAACCCCCCAAAGGCAAGTAACTTACAACGAATTCTTCCTCTGACCACTGTTTCTAGATTTTTAAAAGATAAATCAATCAATACATACTTTTTCTTAATTTTCTTGAAGCTGTCTATAAACAGTTTTAAAGAAAATTGAAAATTGTCAACTGAAGATTTAAAGCCATTATTTTCCAACTTATTCATGAGGCAAATGATCATAGAAAAGTTTACAGAATCCTTAAGTGAAATCTTAGAAATTAAATTTAAAGGAAAAAAGGCATTTCACATGGGTCAGATGAACAGCGTGAGGCTATATGTACCAATTAAGTATTCATATCTTAAATGCCTAGTTTAAGTCTAGTTTAACAAATTCTCAAAATGAACAATTCTATTTGGTAGACCATATATATTGCTGGATTCTGTTTTATAGAATTACATGCTCTACTATATATACTTACTTTTCTATGTTTAACGTCAGTCTCTTCTCCATAAGAAAAAACTTTATATTTTTTATACAACAAAATTCCTCCTGTTATCATTATTCAAGCTTTTGAAATCAGAAATGGTTCTAAGTTGTCATATAAACTGCCTATTTCTGTTTCCAGACCCATCTACCCCTTATATACATTCTTAGGCTACTTAATTTATAAATCTAACCAAAACACTTTCCTTATTAAAATTCTTCGATCATTCCTAGAGAAAGTATGGAAGGCCCTCCAAGCAAGGTCTCTACCTCTGTCTCCACCTCAAGTCAGTTCTGTACACTAGTAATGTTCAATTACTGGGAACTGCTGTACACACTGTGATTTTATACCACTGTGTCTTTCTACTAGTGCTATCTCTGGTGCCCAATATGCCCTTTGATGTATATACATGTATATTTTTTGGCTTGACCTTTAACCATCTTTTGAGCTCAAAAAGTCATCTCCAAGAAGTAGTAACTTAAGCTGTAGGCTAGTCTGAGTAACCTTCCTGTGTTATTAAGATACATTACACAGGACTCTTAGAATTAATTATGAAACAACCTGTTTATGTGGTTTTCTTAAGAGCAGGAAGTAATTTTTTTCATCCATGTTCTCCAGAAACACAAAGCCAACGCTCAGAGGAGAGGTTTAAGGAATCTTTTAAACTGAACAATATAAACTTAAGGGAGTTACTACATATAGATGAAACACTTTAAAGAGCTGTTGAGGATCTTTCCACGGAGAAGGAAACAGAATATACATGCAGTTCAAGTCTCCTCAGGTAATACCCTCCGCAAACTCTGACTGATGACTGCTTACCTGACTACTGAGATTCTCCTTAGTCCTGGGCTAACCACGAAGGCTTAAAGCACCAAGGAACTGGCATGCAGTCAAATGAATTTCCAGGGAGAGTCTATTAACCCAACGAAAGACCAAAAGATATAAAAAACTCCGTATAAGCATATATTGTAAATCTGAAATTCAGAACGTGAAAGCATCCAACATAACATTTTCTGTCATAGTTAACTGAATTGTCAAGAATATCAATCTTTATTTTCCAAACCTCTTCTATTACAATCAATCATACTAAAATATATAATCAATAATACTAAAATGCCAAGCATACTTGATATATCAACATTAGACTTTTTACAGCTAAACAGTGAGTAGAATATAATATGGTTTCCACAATAGAGAAGAAGAGGGCAATCTTCCTTCACCCCAGGATAAACAAGGGATCCAGATGTTTCTTTTTGTGAACTGTTCCAAGAAACATTTCTCATGATTTATGATAAATCCACAGTCTGCATGTGTTTCTATAGCAACAGGAATAGAAGGCATGCACACAGTCTGCAGTAATGAATCAGCTATGCTGGTTCTTGAAAACCTGGCATTTTTACTGTTTGAAGATTTCTGTGGTAAAACGTTTAAAAAGAAAAATGTAAGACATACTGTTGAAAAATTAGAGGGTCATTTTGTTTTAAAGCAAAAAATCTAAATTCAGTATATAATGGCAAGCTTAAGCATACATTCTTTGAGGTGTAACAAGATAAAACTATCAAATATATTAATGCACTCATTTCTAACTGAATGATCACTTAATGTTTGAAAATCAGATCCTGTATCAAAACAAATTTAGTGCCTACACACACATCCCCCCGAAAAACTTCTTCAGCCATGGCTCATCTTTAATGATTGAATACGAAGATGTTGTGATGACAGATTCGAGGGAGATTTTCATTTTATTATTTTCCCCTCAAATCTACACAAAGAAAATAATGGGAGGGAGGAGTTAACTTTTTAAAAAATATGGTCCATTATTTTCAGTACATAGGTTATCAAGAGTGAAAGCAGAGCCTCTTTAAAAAAAAAAACAAACTTGAAAACGATGCTTGAACTGTAGGAAAAATGCTAAAATCCCCTAATCCAGAGTTTTAAAAGAGACTCCTTTCTTTTTGATTCTGTGTTCTATTCACATTTTAACTTAATTATCTGATCAGAGTGATCTGTATTGCCCATTTGGCTTTCATAATTTAAAAATTAGTTAATTGATAATAGTGCAGTAACAACAGTGTATTGTTGAAAAAGATTAGAGCTATGTTATTCTACTCTATCATACCTATTTAAAAGTGTTAGCCATTCATCCTTTATGGAAGTAAGGAGCTAAGAAATCAGGAAAAGGCTGAGAGGCAGCAATGGAGGAAAGGTCACCAAGAGCAATGATGTGTCATTAGAGACGGAGGCTAAGTTTATTCATACCTTCATATTCCCAATTACAAGGTACAAATGTGAAAGGTGGACAGGGAAGAAGGCTGATAGGAAAAAAAGTGATTTATCTGAAATATGGTGTTAGAGGAGAACTCTACAGATACCCTGCACCCCCAGAAAGACAACCAGTTGCATCCTACAGTGAACTAAGCTCGAAACATGACTGGAGGCAAAAATGACAAAACAGAAGGCATCCTACTTTGCGCACATCGTGAGAAGGCAGGGTTCCTTGGAAAAGACAATACTGCTGGGAGAAACAGGAGGCAGCCGGAGAAGAGGAAGACCAAGTTTGAGATGGACTGGCTCCGTCAAAGAAGCCACAGGCATGAGTCCACTGGAGCTGAGCAGGGCCGTTCGGGACAGGACGGGGCATTGTGGACACCACTCATTCCCTCAGAGAGTCGCCAGGAGTCAGAGCTGACTCAATGGCAGGGAAACACACGCACAAGAGATGAATAATTTTAAAGAGCCCAAACACACACATTTAAAAATCAGCAAACAAAAATTGCTATTAAGGATGAACAGGATGCAAATTAAGGATGCAAATTACACTAAAAAAAATTCTTCCATCACAAGCCTTTTTACAGTTTAACAACAACAGTAAAAAAATTGGGTGCAAAGGTGAGGGTTATGGAAAAAGAAAATCAACCACTTGGTTCTAAGAACTTGACCACACCTCTATACTACCAAAAAGGAAATCAACGACAACGTTTGCCTTTTATTCACTAAAAGCAGCTAAAATCGATAGCATCTAACCTAGCTCTGCTCCACAGAAAGAGCAATAACTGAATTCAGTACCGTGACTACACAACTCTATGTCAATCTTTCAAACAAAATGCATCCTACTTGGAAGTTTTTGTCGAGAAAATATAAACAACTTCACAAATGGAAGTGGCTGTTCCATTTGTCTTTAGTTTATCCTGCGAGGGAACAAAAACTGTATTCGATTACAAGCTCTACTATTTTATCCACAAACAAAAGCAAGTGCTTTTCACACCATCCAAGTGTTATTATACAGTCGGTAGTTACAGCTATCCATAAAAGTTTTAATAACCACAGTGGTATAAAAGCTAATTATTTGACTAAAATTTGAGCATTTCCCCCCCAAATTTGTTAAATTCCCATAGTAATGCAAATGATTGGACCTCTGACTTTGAGGCCGTTAAATAATGATACTAACTCTAGAGGTACTTAACAAATTTTTAGTTTCCTTATGACTTTTTAAATAAAAATTGAGGATGTCAAGTTTGTAAGGTTTGAAACTTTTGAATCATTTAAAGAGGTGTACTACATTTTGGTTGAGGCTAACCCTTTGAAAGACCAATGCTATGGTTTAGAGGAAAATATTTTCTTTTCTGAACTATTTTTCAGCAATTATATTAATAAAATATAAATTCTCCAAGTGACACAAAGGGCTTAAGAGTACGTTAGATAAGTGTTTTAAATTAGTAAACCTTATCTGGGTATCTTGACTTAAAGGTACTTTCCAAGGTAGCCTTTTAAAAAGAACTCTAGGCTGCTGACTAATTTCTGCATTGAAATCTACTTGCTTTAAAAGATAATTCAGATGAGAATATATTCCTCTTATATTTTCACATGGTTTTACTCACTTATCCACCCATAATAAAGTAAATCATGTCACTTTTATACAATTACTGACAACACGCATCCAAGTCAGTGTTCTCACTGCCTATGTAAAAAAAACCCAAAATGTGTCAACAGAAGATACCCTTCTACAACAGGATTTGCTACATGACGCTTGCTCACTAAGGAACTAAGCAAAAGCATAAAACTGGCCACTCTCTTCAATAAGTGAAAGAGAAGTAAAATGTGAATGACATGCTTAAGCAACGAAAGCAAAGCAGAAGTGAGTCTTGTTGGTACGAGCTCTTCTTTTCCCCTACTAAGGCACTGTATTTCAGTGATACTTTCTAAAAGACACAGTAACATTCTTACAGCATGCCCTGCTACTCTATCAATTTTACTCAATTTAAATAAGAATGCTCTCACAAAAGGCTACCTATTGTATATTTCCACTTATACAAAAGGTCCAGAACAGAAAAATCGGTAGAGACAGAAAGACCCCAGCCTGCCAGGGGCTGGAGGAGGGAGGGGAGGAGGATGACTGCTACTGAACCCGGGATCTCTTCTGGGGGCAATGAAGCCACGAAAAGTACACTTTAGAGGGGTGAATTGTATGCATATGGATTACACCTATTTAAAAAAAATGCTCCAAAAGAAATCAAGTAAGCAGTTACATATGTTTCTCAACAATAAACTGTACAATATCTGTTCAAAAATTAATGGTTTAAACACACACTGAATGTGCTCACAATAGCCCCGGCTGGGGGCTCAGTTGGTTGGAGCATTGTCCTGCACACCAAAGGGCTGCGGGTTCCATCCCTGGTCAGGGCACACACCTAGGCTGCAGGTTTGTAAAAAGCTTTATATTTACAAAGCCACAGTAATTAAAATATGAGGTACTGGTAAACGGGCAGACAGTACAGCAGAGTAAGACCCCAGACACAGACCAAGCCTATATAACTTTAGCATATTAACAGGAGAAGCACTACAGACTGCTGAGGAAAAAACAGATTTAAAGAATGGTACTTGGGAAAATAAATGGCTTATCTATATAGAAAAAAGAAAATGAGATCCTCACCATGTAATATACCCAACTCCAGTGGCTTAAAGACCACATGTGAAAAATAAAACTTAAATGCTTCTAAGAAAAAACAAAAACATAAAACAGTAGATCATGTAAAACAGTAGAACTCAAGGTTGGGAAGGATTTCTTAAACAATACATAAAGAGTACAACACAAAGGAAGGAAGTAATAAATTCAGCAATATTAATTTTAAAAACCATGTACCAAAATACAACACAAACAAGTGAAAAGACAAGCCCGCAAACCGGGAGAAGATAAACACAATGCATAAAACAAAGCTGAGTTCTAACTCCCCAACTTTCTTGCAAATGTTCCCCGTTTGTACTATGTTCAATGATTCTGCTTTGTCATTTCTCATCTGGGTAAGAGCAACAGCTTCCAAACTGTTCTTCCTGTTTCCAAAGTCATCCACCTCCAATCTGCTCTGTAGAGTATTGGCAGTACTTAAAAGAAAAACTGAAAACCCCCGCGTACTTAGTAATCTCCCATGGCTCTTCATGCCTCAGGACGAAATCCCAGAGCAGAAGACCTTTCCTGACTTGGCCCCACCTACTTGCTCAGCCTCCTCTCCTGCTGCTTCAGCTTTCCCACCTCGTCCACCACCAGTCCAGCACTGTCTCTCCTCAACCACTCATCTTTCAAGATGCTATTCAGATGAGTTAAAATACTTCAAGAAACTATTCCAGACTGCCCCTCACACATCACACGCCCCAAGAAGCCGGCTCAAGTACCCTCTTCTGCTGGCATAGCGTTCTATGTATAGTGTACCATAGCATTTAATACATGGTAAAGGGCCGTCTTGACCTAAAGGAAGGGTGTGCATGAGTGTGTAAGTGAACATGATCTTAAAACATTTGTGTAAGAAAGGACAGTGAAATTCTTTATTGTATCAATTCCGGATACCAGCTGCTGCCTGTTAATTGCCCTCTGTAGGCTGAAACAGAGTTGGGGCGAGGTTCACACTAGCTCCTCCTTCC